ATGCTATGCTTTTTAAATGTTATATAGTAGCTGACGTTTTCCAATATTCATACAAGTAAAATTATTCTTTTTTAAAACATGATGAATAAAACGCAATGTATAAAATTTAAAAGATAAAATATTATTTTCTGAAAAATTTATCTTATTAAAGATATTGTATTCTTCAACTTTATTTGTGATATTAATTAATTATTAAATTTTCATAGCTTTATATTTATGTATAAGGCACTATAGATTTTTATAAATATATATGCAAATTTCACGACTTCCTGTCGGGTTCCACGAATAATAAAAGATTGAATAGATAATAATAGAGGTATACATGACAGTTAATTTAAATGTAATAAAAAATATTAACTCGAAACTTATTTCAAATAACATTAACTTTTTATAATTCAACAATTTTAATTGATTTCATTATTATACAAATATTATGTATATTTTATAAATTTAAAAAATTATAATGCAGAAAACATTATTTTAAATCGTAAATTATTAATATAGAAAATATGATTTTAAATCGATGCGTTGATTCTTCCCTGGTTTAGTTTTTCTGGGGTCTAAATTTTAAAAAAGTCTGAAAATTTATTTTCTTTCTTTATTTTCGGAGTAAACGCATTATTCTGCATAACTCGCGTACGAATAGCATAAAGCTTATTGACGCTAGTCACAAAAGGATTAAAAAAAAAATAGAACATTATTAATTTAAAATGACTTCATCAAAAATAACTAATGCTTTTCTAGCTCCCAGCAAGGATAACATTCGAAGCTTATCTTTCGAAAGCGATCTGCATTAATTCAAACTCCATCTCGTTTTATGAAACGTCCGCGGAGATGTTCGCGAGATTGTTGCGGATAGCTTAAGGTCGGGAGTATGTGGCAATTTTGGTGCAGGCCTTACAAAAGAGCAGCGTGTTCGCGTGTCTCGCATCGTCGTCTCGTCGTAGGATTAGAAAGCTAGGTAGTCGGTGTCTGGATACCTGTTCCCGGCGCAGACACAATTAAACCTAGTCCGCGCGAGAGGCGCAATGCATGTGCAGATATCGCACCCTGCCCCACGATCGCGAAGCAATTACAACCACAGTACTCGTTACACGCTCGACAAACCCTCTCTCTCTCTATTCTAGCGCAATTCTCTCGCGCGAACGCGAAACTCGCAGCGCGTGTCGAAACTTCCGACGATACTTCCGACGATAAGACGTCACGCTACAAACGGGAATTACGTGTATTGTATATCGGCGTGCCGCCATAAATGGAAATGACCCGTTTCTTCGACACAAGGGACTTCGTTGCGAGCGTGATAAGATAAGGAATTGTAAAATCGGATATTTTTTTCTATTGCGAAGAAAGAACAAGCTAAAGTCAATAAAGATTTTTTTTCTATAAATTTAATATAGTTAAATGGAATTCTGTTGAAAATAGTTTCTCATTCATCTCAACGTTTTTATTACGCAGTATTGATTCTCATAATATTTTATTTGTCACATTATTGTGATTTGAAATATGCACTGAACAATTCCTGAATTTCTATGCAATATCTGTATAGAACGAGTAATTATATAGAATATTTAAAACAAAAAGAATATTTTATAGAAAACGCAATCGGTAAAAGCTCTTTAATCGCTTATTATAACTAATTGTTTGTTGCTTTGTTAATAACGACTTTCTGTCAAAGACAATAATTGCGGATATATTCCTGCGATAACAAAAGTGAAAAAATAAGAGAGAGAGAGAGAGAGTAGTATCGAGGAAATGGCATATCCAAAGCTAGCCGCAAATAACGCAGAACCAACCAAAGTAATGATGGGTTACTGACAAACGAAACTGCAACGGCAATTATACCTGCGGGTACTACAGGTCCGATATCCAGTGGTGTGCCTATGAAACCATTGTGACACGGCTGTCCATCGATATTAATTGATAAAACGAAATTCGAATTACTCCCGCGGCATACGATGATATTTTACAACTCGCGGAAATCTAGTTCGACGAAGTATGACAGCGGACAGCTCGATCGCTACCGTCCATTTCGCGTGAATAAAAGGTTTTGTCAGTTTCGTTAAAACAGAGGGAGACAGAGAAAGAGAGAGGACATTCTCAAAAACCTCATATGATTTTTTCATTTCACCTACATTTTTTTTTTAAACAATTAAGTATTGTAATTATGATTTAAGAATCAGTTGTAGTGAATTTATTTAGTTCATTCGTGCAAAAATTTGAGAAATAAACTAAATGATTGAGTCGAATAATTTTTATACACAGTCCTGAATTTTTGGTGTAAACATAGATTTTTATTTAGTTGAGATTGTAATATTAATTAAAATTATAATGAATTAATTTAGCTTTACATTACATATATGTTTTTCTTAAATGCAAATGTCTCTCTCCTTAATTACCATAACGTTTTCATCAACGTCAGTTAACTTTATCCTTAGTTCTGCAAACTGACAACAGAACTAATTGTAAGATTAAAGTCAAAATTCTTGACTTAGGTGAAATTGTTGTCGCCTACTTTTGCTGACCTATATTCTTTGTATACATATCAGGAATATTACATATAATACTATTTTATAAAATTAAACTATATTTTATATCTTCAAATTAGACGCAAGAAGTTTTTTTATAAATATTCAACGATAATAGAAATAAAAGAGAGAAAAAAATCGCGTATCAAATAATAATAACGGATAATAAAACTGGCTATGATAATCTAATATACACACACATTTACTGATATCTTTCTATTAAATAGTATACTTTCACTATACTTTTATTGACGATGCGTGACATATCACAAACCCGGAATTCGAGGAAGACTGGGAATTAATTGTCAGTCGCGTGAGAAGATTTCCGCTTGCCTAAGTGGAAGAACGATCGTTCATTAAGTCGACGAGACTGCAAAATCCGTTTCCGGACAGTTCGTCGATTAAGTCACCCCTTCCTCCACTTCCGTTCCGAAATCGTGACGCATTCACGCATTATCGTGCATCCGATAATGCAAACTAGATTGCCCCCAATTCACGCAATGTTGTACCTAAGCAAATTGGTAGACAAACATTCGATGAGACCCGTCAACAAACCAGCCGATTCAATTGCGACACCAAGGAATATGAAGTTCTTGAGAGATGATAATACAATGTCTCTGTGACTAGATGATTCTTATGAAATTCGTTCGGCATGCTTTAACGGTCGGGCGGAATATATATTTTTATATTTCTTATTATTTCTTATATTTTATTATTAAGAAGAGAGAGAAAAGAGAGTTACATAAACCTTTTTTCTTATATAAATATAATATAATTGAGATACATTTAAAAAGCTTGTATTACTTCTTAACAATTATTTTCAAACATCAACCCATAAAAAATTGTTTAACTCAAGAGTACCTTAAATATTGAAGAATGTTATTAACATTTAAAGATAAAAAAACCTAATACGAGAGAAAGACTTCACTTTGTAAAAAAAAAATTCCAAATAATTTCTGAGAATCTGAAGGAATAAAAAAGCTAGAAACAATTAAATTGTTTGATAATTTAATTACAATAGAACATTGTCTTGTAGTTGCAACATTAATCGATTGAATGAAATTTAATTAAGGGGAGGTCGTGTTTGAGGGTTGCGAACGTTTACCCTGAAAATGATTGATCTAGTCAGCTCCGATTGCAAACTAAGGATTGAAACTGAGACCGCAGACCATTACAATTAAGGTCACACAGAATGGGGTTTACGTGTCAAAGGACTATACTGTTGTATAAAGGTAGAAGGGAGTGACAACCATATTTCCTGTAACCTCAGATCGATAAGATTGCGGGTGTGTGCCATTATATCACGATGCTATGAAATAGTAGATTGTATTGTAAAATGCAATTACGAATAAAAATAATTCAATCTAGAATTCAATTAGACATAAAATTTCAAATATTCAAATTCCATGAAAAAAAAATCGAAATAGCCGGCGGATATTTAACGTCATAAAAAATTTTTTACAATTAAACAAATTCGAGAATAAAAATTCAACAACTAATATAATACAATACGTTAATTTATAACATTATAATTAAAAGAAAACAAATTGTACTTCTGTATAAGAAAATTTAATTGTTGTTTAATTGTATTATTTTTTCATAGATATAATTTGATTATTGTTTCATTGATAACTGCTTATTCACTGATAGGTGTATCGATCCTAATTTGTTTCTAATTGTTTATCCTCCTTACTTTCTTACGAAGACATTTATGTTTGTGCGAAAACCGACGTAATGCAGCCGTACTATTAGCCGTACAGGTGAGTATCCGCGCATTCCTGCGGTACCAGTGACGTAACCGGATTATGTGGCATGCATAGGTGAATTAGCAGGCAAATGTTCGGTAAATTCGTTTGTTGGCCGATCGATATGTCGTGGTATCGGTATCCAGTAAATTCGATTGCCCGAATAGCGATCGAGATACTTGTCCGAGTGAGATAGCAATACCACAAATAGCGGTACAGCATCGTAATTTTACCTGAGAAATGCAATTAAAATCAAGAGTATTGAAAACTTCGAACTTGTGGTATACATCTTCATTACTATATAATCATTTTGTTCCAATAACTTTGATCATTAATGTTGAAAATTCTACTCCCTCACTAAATTACGATACTTCACTTCAATAGAAATTTAACTTTAAATATTATTTAGATAAACTCGCGACTCTCTTCTGTTTATCATAGTACTGTCATTTAACTTATATTTTGAGCAACAAGTTTCGGAATTAATCTATTTCTCGTTGAAGTAACATTTAATTCGGGATAAAGTAAAGCAATATCACGAATCGCACATTTCCCTTCCAGTCATGACAGATGAACGTAAAGAATGATCAGACGCAAAGCGTTTTAATGTTAGCACTGTTCAAAGTTACGATGAAGCTCACGTACTACTTGAATGCGTTCCTCCGCTCGTCCGTACATCAAAAGTTCGACCCCGAAGGTCTATTAAACTTTATCTCGCTGTTTGACTCACCGTTTCGCAAAGTTGGCTCGAGAAATTCCACCGAGAGTCCCTTCCTTTTTTTTCCGCCTTCTTCGTCCTTGGCTCAACGCACAGTATCACATAAGATCGTTTCGCACCTGCTTCACACGTCCACACTATCGTACACTATAAATTCTAGCCCGAGAGACAAAACAATCTTGTAAAAACAGCCAGGTTGTTGTCGTGAAGGTCAGAATTTCGCGGCCGCGATTTTAATTGGCTGACCAGTTTTATATTATAAATTCGAGCTTCGTCGAGAGCGCCAGGTTCACGACAGATCGAGTATACCACAATACCGGTTTCGTGAAAGTGGATTACGCATGTGGAAGTGAAATTATACTACTGCCTCGAAAAGCGGAAAGTTTGACATTTAATGCGAGATACAAAAACATAGTGACTATTGATATAAATTTAAAAAATGTTACTCGCAACAGAAACGAAAGTGGTCTTTTTTTTAAATAAATATCAGTCATTAGTATACGTATATATACATACATATATATATATATATATATATATATTTATTTATTTCTTCGATAATTACTTTTTATGTTACTTTCTAATTTTATATGCCACTATTTCTAATAAGATACTTTAAAAAGCCGGATTTTTTATAAAAATATTTTTATATTTAATTTTGATCAAATTTAAAGAATAAAATTTTTGACGCAATCTTACAGCATTAGATTTATATATAGATCACATTACACACACATATAAACATACATAAGTAAATTATATTAGGCGCCGTCTTAAATTTGTCATACGATATACTAAGTGACTATAATATGCTAATCAAAATGTTTGACTCATGTTTTATGCAGAGACATGAAAGAGTAAACCTCTCCATCGTCGAATTTCCACAATTCTCGTATATGTATACCTATATGTATGTATATATATTACACTCAGTAGTTGATTGCAATCTGTAACTTTAATCAAAAAGATAGAAACGAAATATTGAAAAAGAGAATATTATAAAAATGTTCATAAATATATTTAAACTAAAAATAAAATAAGTTATATAAAATGTTGATACAATGCTTTAATCTTTGCGCTATATATATCAATAATTTATGGGATTTTACTACAAAATTATATCGTTATATATCGATACAAATTATGTATAATAACATTGAAAGAGATGTTATTATAATTAATTCGCGTCCACTTCTACGTTAGAAATGCAAAATGATACATTAACACATGATAAACCGGTTGATATTGCGGAAAATTTTCACGGTTAATATTCTGATCTAATAGATTATCAATTTTTCGAATGTTTTCAAATTCAATATAATTTAATCTCTTAACAATAATAGTCTAAATATATGTATAATCATTAAAATTTCAATAATAAATTATCATTATATTTAATATAATATTAATTATAATAATATTTCAAAAATTGGATATTTACATTTTCGCTCTAATAAAATTGTATCTTATTAAAGAATATCAATGAGAAATTTCAAATATCTCTAAAATTGTCAAACTCTTGTTTATTCAAATTTGCACTTTAATTTAACTTTTTGAGATATAAAATGTGTTCTATCTCTGACACTTTAATCTCTTGCAATTTGAATTTCCCTTGAATTTGTCATCAAAAAAGTTTCCTGTCATTATAGCATCGTTTTAGCGATAACAGACGTAGGTAATCGCTAATTTCCGTGCATACACACGCACACGGTCCAATATACAGCGATCGATCATCTACAGCCAATTCCGATGTATAACCCGGGTGCAACCAAACAAATTATTTCCTCCCGATTAGAGCTCAACGATCATTGGCGGTAACGTTTCAACGTAGCAAGCCTAATACAGTCAACCATCGAAATAAATTGCATGCTGACACGATGCATCATTTTGTAGCTCTCGCATTCACATTCGCGTTTATTTTCCGCGTGATCACTATGTTCACCGTAAAAAAAAAATGAATGAATTTTTCACAATATAATAATCTTTTATATTGGATTTTATCATCTACGTGACTACAAAAATGTGAGAAAGAACTTGTTAGAAAATTGATTCAAGTCTAATTTCTGGGGCTATTTTCTCAGTCTGGTCGTTTATATACATTCTTTCTACTTTATCGATACAATAATTAAACCCATAGTTACAGATTAAATGCGATCATATTGAACCGTTAATTTCAGTATTGTATTACCAAAAGCAATTTGAGGCAGCTGTCATCAATTTCAATCCACGTGATATATCGATCGGACATGCTAATATCAAAGCCCGCGGCTCGAATGAAGCGCACTCGAGAAATGGGTTTTAGTGCCGCACTAAAATTCATAAAAATGCAGAAAATTCCTCGCTCGCCATCTCCTGCTTAAATTGGTCACGACAAGCGCCAAACTCGATTTCGGACGTGCGCCACAGTGCAACCTCTCTATACGTACTCGATACTATTTACAATTCCACCTCACACGCTCCGTTCTCACGAGTATCGACCGCGTTACATCCGCTTTAGAGAACGAAAGCAACGAAAAAAAAAAAATAAAAAAATAAAAAATAAATAAAAGAGAAAAAAGAAGAAAAAGGAAATACAAAGGCAAGGAAAACCTGGCACACGACGATCCGCCAGGCAGCACGCGAACGATCTTCGAATAGACGATACCCGAAGAGGCTCTCAAGCCCGCTGTACCAGATGGAGGTCTACCGAGACACTGGCGACTTCTCTCACTACCAGGACATTCGCCAAGTTGAGACCAGAAAGAGAGAGAACAGAATGATCCTCTCCTCTCTCGCTTACTCGCGTGTACGACGGACGTGTTCGCTTTCGTTCGCTTTTCATGATTTTCTCCTATCCCTCCTCGTCGCAGAGGCTCGCACTCTGGGCAGACACGTGGGGAGAGTGAGAGGTCCCTGTGAATGATTTCGCGAGGGCTTGGCCCGAATGGCCGCGTATATGTCACGGTAGCGCGATCGAATAAGTTGTCTCTTCCCGTGAGAAAAGTGTAGCGTTACTGGCGATGCGATGGTCGGTTGGATGGAATTGATGGTCAGTGCCGAAGTGGACAGACTGAGTAATTGGTTCACGTTTCTCTGACTCAAGATATACATCCGGGAAAGCAAATGGCTCGAATATTCTAAATTTCTGCTTCTGACACTCGCAAGCGGTTTAATGTCAACTTGAAATCGCCATGTATTATAGCAAGGTAATATAACAATAATGAAAATAATTGTAAAAGTGTTAATTTTTCATTTAAAAAATAATTACATAATTATAGCTTAATTGTTGGATATCTCTTTTCTCTGAATTATAACTGTTTTTATTAAAAATGTTATATATTGATAATTTCGACAGATTTATTACATAATGTATTTAAATCATGTATTTACCTTTGCCATCGAAAAAATATCGGGAAGCTGTTGTGAGTTTGAATCTTTAATCGGAGTAGAGCGGTATTACGTCAAAAGTACGAATTAGAACACGAACTCATCTTCCATAATCTCACTTTACGCGAGACTTCCGATAAGTCATTTCATCATCGAATTAATACTGGTACACAATATATAATCATGAACTATTTTTACTTGTGTTTTCACTTGTACGATACCATGATGCAAGAGAAAATGAAATTTTTGAGGCATCGTCTTCTTCCTGATTCACCACAATTACAAATTTTGTATCTTTATTAAACTTTAGCGAATGCCAAAAACAAATATTATCTCTATTTTTCAAAACTTGTAATTCAAAGATTAATTGTTTTGTTTTCTTTAAAAATTTTTAATAACAGTTTTTAATTTATTTTTATACATACATGTGCTTTAATATATATATTAAATTGTAAAATAAATTTTGATATATATAAGTTCAAGAAGAATGTATAAAATAGCTTTTTGTAAAATAATTTGCAGATCAACCTGATAATAATTTGTTCTTAATTTATATTTTTTCTAAAATTGCCGTCTGTTGCCCAACTATAATTATAAACTATATATTAGTTTCGTTCTACACGTGATGTATCGTGACTCTCACTCGCTGAACCATAAATTAGAAATCCACCACCAAATTATCGACAAGCAAAGAAAAAGTTTGCGCATACACGCCCAATCACTTTCTACCCAATTAAATATCTCTCTTCTTCTTACATCGAAACATCAAATTACAAAAGATGATGTTACGGATGTTGTACGCATGTTATGAAACTTCTTACGAGATAAGAAGATATTCCTTTGTTCTTATATAGTTTCTTCTCTTCCTATAATAAAATCGATTAATAAGTATACGAAAAATTGTACTGTATTCGCAATAAAATAATACAAATTAATACAGTATATATACTAATAAAATTTTACAATATACTTTATAGTATAATTGGAACGTCTCTATAATCTCGGACGTTATATCGATCTGGATTAATTCAATCAAACGATCGGATGTTGCGAAGTACTTGCTAATAGGCCCTACAGAGTGAGACTACTCTAGCTGTTAGTGCCTCGTTGGGTTAATTGTTGCGGTAGCTTTGTAATTTGTAGTTCTGGTTGTGGTCAGCGATACGTCATGCAACAGTCGGCATGTGACGAATTGCAGGATTATTGCCTTGGATATATCGAGATGGATACCAAGATGATACTCTTTGACAAGGATTATTGATTGCTTAATGACTGTTACTGTCCATTTGTGTACAATGTAACACACATAACAAAAATATTCTTTTCTCCTTTCCTCTAGTTTAAATTTAAATTTGAATTTAACCATGTTCATAAATGTTTTAATTTATAATGTAAATAAATATTAAATTTTTATACATAGAGACTATATCCTAATTTATAGTTTTAAAATTTTTTATTTTAATTATATTCTGCGAAAGTTTATTTTTAGGAATCTATAGGGATATTTTCTTAACCATGTGTTATTTCTTAGAAATTTTTTGACTAAAAAAATTAATTATAAAAAGTGAACAGTACCAGCTCGTGAGAAACAATACAAACAATCTAAATAAAAACCGCAATTATTATAACTTCAAATCATTATAACTTTATAATTTTCTTTTTTATTATTTTTTAATTTGATTTTCTTTACAAAAGTTTTTTTTTTTATTTATACTGTTAGTCAGCCAACAATGGACGGGTGGTATTCAGAAATTCATATATATATATCGACGCTTGTCGTTACTTGTCGGTTATTGAATTGCTACTGTAATCACACTTTAACACGAATGGGTACATATAATTAACAGATGACAGATTATATTTTTAAACGTTTTAAATTTTATTGCGTATATATCATAGATGTTTATATTAAATTTAGTTTTTAAGTTTTTACGCTGAGGATGACCCAAAAAAAGGTGCCGAAACGTATGTTATTGAGATGATATTATTGTAATGTTTTTGTATATTCATGGAAAATTTTTAATTTTTAATTTTATATTAATAAAGGTACGCGTTTAAAC